TTTTGAGCATCCTAAGTAGAGTCTAGAGCCACCCAAATAGTAGGTCCAAAGCCTTCTGAACCATAGGCATGGGACGGGTAGCCGCACGCATAGGATACGACCTAGAATTGAATTAAAACGCTTTTAGGTAAAATACTTTAATATAGTAATCGGGTAGCATGAGATGATTGTCTGTGCCCGCTGAATAATATGAGCAACCCCTACCCTAAGGGAGTTGCGAAGTATTATTTATGTTGCAAAGGGTGATCCTTTAGGCTAAAAAACTTAGGATACCCCTCCTTTATATATACTTATTGTACGCACTTAGTCGTTGAATTTAGAATAATTAAGTTGTACCTTGTAACTTCCAAAGACTTGTACTAATTATTTTTATAGTCTAATTCTTGTGCGATCTTCATCACACTTGTTTATATTTTAGTAGAATCTTTAAATTCGTTGTCTTCCCTCACTTATATGATCACTTAGGACAATTATAATTCGGTAATCCATAAACTTCGTCTGAGACCCATATTTGTGGACCTCAAAGAGTGTCTAACACCTTCTCTTTAAGGTAATTTGAGTCCTTACCCGATCTTTGGTGACGTAGACTAATTAAACAGAGTTATTCGCAATTAGGTGCCCTAACGCACCTCAAAATCTTTAGGTGGCGACTCTTCTCTTTTAATACCCACTTAAAAGAGTTGTCACATGTCGAAACCCGCTTTCGAGAGAAAAAGGGGCGCGACATTGATATCCTTTTTGCCAGGGGCCTGCATCTCACGATGCAGGTAATGATTTACAGGTTGACGATTCAGAGCGCTAGGATTCTCGTACCAGCTATTAGGTGAGCCCCAGTTCATTCGGGGTATTACCATTACTTTACAATCTTTCAGTATTTAAAGACAATCAGTGTTTTCAGTAATTCATTACTTCATAGACTAGAGTAACACTTAGACTGAGTCACAGGCTTTTCATGTTAAGCAATGTTGCTACATATATGTTTCTGACTTATATTAGTATTTCCGCACTTGATTTATATCATTCAGACTTTCAGTATATCAGCATGTGTTAGATTTTCTTCCGCATTCAATACGTTATGATATCACATGTTGATTCAGTCAGTCAATTGGTTCACTCGGTCGCATGTAGTCAGACACCGGGTGTCGTGTTACGCCCAGGCCCAAGTTCGAGGCGTGACACTTTTTGAAAGAGATTAATAAGGAAAGTGTGCCATTTAAATTTGAACGGAGGGGGAGTATCTAAGATCTTTCTTAATTTCTTGAGAATATAATCTTGACTAGATTAAATGATCTGTTAAATAAATCCAACAGTTTCAAAAATTAGTCAACTTAGTTGATGAAAGCTTTCTAGAGACTACGAAGACATCAGACAAGAACCCTAGAACGACAAAGTTGCTGACATTATAGCTGGCCACTTCGGAAAGCGTTGTCTAATTGTTGCTCACAAAAATTACTAAAAATTAAACCTATGTTATTTGAACGAATGAAAAGGTAAGTCCTCAAAGTTACGACCAATTAAATATTTTAGTTTCAGAATGAATGGATCTATATGTGGACGATAGTAAAATTTATGCGACGCCCAACAGTTAAATGACATTATGTACTTGTTGAATTTAACCTTCTAACCACCTAAGTTTGTAGTGGGGTGGTAAGATGTTTTTAACTAGGGCCTCTAGTTTAAGTCCCGGAAGGAAATGATCTATGGTAAGGGGAGCTTTACTCTCCAAAGTAGTATTCTACCGTGTGAATTTAAATTAGTCGGGGCCTCAAAGTGAATACTGGATATCGAATAAAAAATTAAAACATAAAAATAAAAACCTTCTTTTCCAAAAACAAATTTCTTAATGTATGTTGGACCAAGATATTGTTCATAATATGTATAAGTCAGAACATAGAGAATATTTCGTACATCAACGAATATGGAAATGTTATACGTTATTAGATTATTCTATTCATATAAAAAAGACCTAAATATCGGTAAACCGACATCTAGAAAGCTCGTCTAATATGTTTAATTCGATTTATAACTTATATATTTTATAAAACGACTTAACGTTTTAGTTCTTTCCGTAAACAAAACTGATTGAAACCGAATTACTAGCATTCTTGATTGCTTAAGCAACTTTAGTTGATTATGATTCTTTTCTTTTTCTTGTGGTGGTTTTTTTTTGNTTTAGTCCTACGGTAAGTGATCAAACTTTCCACTCAACCGCTGGTTGCTGCTCGTCTTCACGTGCCAACCACCAATACAAGAAAACGTGGTTAAATAAAGTCATCAAAATTTGGTACAATCATATAACCAGAAAGTACACAATGTATAAGCACTTCCTACTAGTAAATAACATGACCTATACAAGAATTTAATTCTCACATGACAACCCCCACTACTATTTTTCTTTAAATCTTGATTTTTTCTTTTCTTCCCATGCAAATGACTAGTCTATTTAAGGGGAAATTATAGCTAGTCAATAATCGATAAAGAAAAAGAGAATTGAACTTTTTAACCTAAGGTGTTCGATTTTACCCAAAGAAAAATATGGTAGTGAAGGTGTATGGTTCAGCAATGGCTGCATGCCCACAGAGGGTCATGGTTTGCCTTATAGAGTTGGGAGTCAATTTTGAACTTATCCATGTCGATCTTGATTCTCTCGAGCAGAAAAAACCTGAGTTTCTGACTTTACAGGTATACTTTTATTTTCTTCTTAGTTTTTTTAGTCACCAGTAATATGTGATACACGAAAAATATTTAATACGCGGAGTACAAATTTAAAGAAAAGAAAAAGGAACATGTATTGACAATTAAATTAACTGTTCTAATTTTCTGTATTTGATGGGAAAAAAAATTCCTGCATTTGAGCTATTATTATATAAACTGCTTGCTTTAATGTCTTTGTCCTTTTCTTGCAGCCATTTGGACAGGTTCCTGTCATTGAAGATGGTGATTTCAGGCTTTTCGGTAACAACCTATTAGCTTTGCATGACTTACGTTGTAAAAGAGTTGCTTGCATAAAATATATTCTCTTCTATACATAATACATATACACACACATTTAAGCCAAGTTCAAACACACTACCACAAGGAAATAGTAGGCGTAAAGGTGTTCTGCGTCGAACTAGGCGGAAAAAGGTCAAATTTTGTCCCATCGTATTCTTCTTATTGAGCAACTTTATTGTTCGTTAGACTTTCAGTCTAATATTACTCAATTAGGAAAAATTTAGTTTTTAATTGTTTTTAACTCGTATTAGAGTTTCAACTTGAATATAATTTTAAACTATAGTCAAAAGTTAAGAGGTAAATTTAGACTTTTTTCTTGAAAAATTTGGACACATGGAGTCCACTTCTCGTTAGTGACAAAAAAAATATACGAGACGATTTGCTAAGTGCAATAATATAAATGGACCAAAAAATTAACGGAAAACAAAATTGAGCAATCAGGAGCAAATTTGGCCCATTCCCAAACTTAAATCCCCCTTTTCAGAATCATAATATACACCACTACATGCAATATAGAAATTATACACTAATTAAACAAGATATTAACGGCTATTTAACTTCTCAAAGAATTCTATATTTTTCAGAATCCAGAGCAATAATAAGGTATTATGCAGCAAAGTATGAAGACAAGGGCACCAAACTAACAGGAAAAACATTGGAAGAGAAAGCTGTAGTAGATCAATGGCTAGAAGTGGAATCCAACAACTTCAATGACTTGGTATACAACATGGTACTCCAACTCGTCGTGTTTCCTAAGATGGGACAGAACAGTGACTTGACACTGGTACACAAATGTGCCGACAAGCTAGAGAAAGTCTTCGACATCTATGAACAAAGGTTGTCCAAAAGTAAATACCTAGCAGGAGATTTTTTCTCACTAGCTGATCTCAGCCACCTTCCTAGCCTTAGGTTTTTGATGAATGAAGGTGGCTTTGCACATTTGGTAACGGAGAGAAAGTGTTTGAATGATTGGTATTTGGATATTTCGAGCAGGCCTGCTTGGAACAAAGTGTTGGAGCTTATGATAATGAAGAAATCAGAGATGCCTGCACCCCTATTTAAAGAAGTAAAACTTTAAGAAAACTAACAACTCTTATAAGCTTTCTTCTAGATTTCATTTCAAGCGGCCGGCTCAAATAAGTATGGGATTGAACTTTGAAGCACAATTATTTTGTTGTATGTTACAACAAGAGTAGAGTCAAAAACAAATTTGGATTTGATATATTTATTGTGATGTAACGGGAAACAAATTTTAATTTTAATTATGAGTTTACGTTATATAAACATTGACATGTGTATATGTTATATCATCACTTAAGTTGCATACCTGCAATAATCAGTAACTCAAAATAACAAATATGATCTAATAACATGGAAGATATAGTAAATAACTTTTATAACATGTTACAATGTTGGTTTAATTTTTATTTTTCGTATATAAAGTATTATACCAGATTTTTCTCGAGTTTGGTTCCCATTTGTTGTTGTCAACTATGAGCTTTTTACTTTTTCCAAAAAGTCCAACAGATCCATTTGATAAAGGACAATATGGGCCTTAAAGAGAACCCATTTAAGTTTATGGGCTTTTTTTCATTTGACATATAGTCATGACCCAGATAGGTATCAATAACTCACGTTTATCACTTGGAAAAAAACAAATATAAGGAGGGAGCTCACAACTATATAAGTAGATCCACCAAACCAGCAGAAAATTTAAAAGAAATTTTAGTTTCGATAACAAACAATTAGACAGTATTTTCAGGGACATATGAAATCCTCATCCCAGGAGAATCTCAGTGCACATGCGCTGGTCAGAACTCAAACATTACAAAAAAAGGGTCTATTTGCGGAGGTTTTATTTTGGGGGTTAGTATTAACCTCCCCAAATTGTATCTAATTAGGGGGGAAGGGGTCTTATTAACCCGCACTGAAATTCAATTTGTAGCGTTTAGAAATCTCCGCTAGCCTTAAAAAAAGGCGCTAACAATAGAATATTTCCTTCCTTTATTTTTATCTTTTCCTCTTTTTTCCAGTATTTTTATCTTTCCCTCCTCACTATATCATCTTTCTCGCAACGCTCTTCATTCTAATGATTTAGGGTTCAGAGAAATTCTTTCTCTCTCCTGAAATGACAAGTTCCCTTTCTCTCTTTAATCTCCCATTTTCTTTATTTGAATTATCATTGTTTTAAGTAATTTATCTGTGCGATTTTGCGGGATTATCATTGCGAAAATAGTTGATATCCGATTATAATTCCTCTAAGTTTGATATTTGTGTGATTTTAATGTGAATTTCAGCAATTACAACTCGAATTGAAGCGTGCTTGTCGCTGAATCTCCTCGCAAACGGTACAACTCGAATTGGAGCTCTCTGCACTCTCCTTCCTAATCTGTTTATATCCGATTTTAATTCCTCTAGGGTTTTGATTATATTTTCCTAATATCTGAATTTCAGTAGTTTCTGCATGTGATTTGATTTAGGTTTTCTCTGCTCCAATTCCAATAATTTTTGCACGTGATTTGATTTAGGTTCTCTCTGCTCCTTTTTTGTTATAGAAGAAGAAGAAGGTTTTTTCCTCTACTTCAAAACTCCAGTAATTATAATAGTATTGGGTAGTCATCTTCTTATTTCTGATAGGATGAACTTTTAATTATTTTTCAGATTTTAAGCTTTAAGCATGACTATAAAACGTAAAGCATATCATCAGCTTGAGTATAGAAATCAAATGTCTATGCGATTTAATAAACTTATTTCGAATGTTTTGGTCCAATGATATCTATCTTGTTGCATTCTATACTTCTACTTTACTAGAGTATATGAATAATATCGGAAACCACACGAGATGGATTGCTTTTAAGTGAGAGCAGAAGCCCTGTAATGATATTTTACCGTATATGAATAAAGTTTGAATTCATCGTAGGTTGATCATTTTGGTATAAATAGATACAAAATCCCTATGAGAATCGGTATCCAAAGTTTGAAACCTTAAGGTGCTGGTGTTCAAATAAATGCATCTTTGATCTCATATTAATCTTTTCTAACAACTATTTGCCACCTATAGGTTGAGGGTAAGTATTAACCCCTTTAAATTTATTGCTTGCATCATCACCTTTTCATGATGTTTGGAGTGAGTTGAGTAAAGTAACAAAAAAGGTGAACAATGCTAGTAGCCCATACATCATTACAGATAACAAAACTACTAGCTACTCATTGTGGCTTGTCTAGCTTTGAAGTTAGTCACTTGAGCTAGCTTGTGGTAGTTCTTGCAATGAGAGGAACATATCAGAAATCCCTTGAGAAATCCCTTGATCCTGCATTGTACCTCCAAATTTCGCCATTTCATCTGCAATAGCATTTCCTTCCTAAAGTAGTGCACCACTTCAATTTGCATATATGTTTAATGATAGACTGCATCCCCATAATATGATCTGCAATCTACCAATCAGGTTTAAGGATTCCTTTTAACATATTAATAACGAGCAACGAGTCCATCTCAAGAGTAATATTTCTGATATTATTAAACTGACACCAGGCAATTCCAAAGAGTGTAGTTTTAGATTCTGCCGCATTGTTAGCAGAACTGGATTGGTTTGATGAAACCAAAATTTAGCTACTGTCATTGCATAAGAAACCAAAATTTAGCTACTGCGACACAATAGCATTATAGACTGGGATTATAGAGTACTTATTTATCACACCTGAAATACCGTCGTCTTTACTCATATTATTCCTCGTAAATAGAAAATCAGCAAACTATGAATATTAAGGCAATTCAAACTATGGATAACTTTGCTTATTCAAAGATAATTCGTTGGTGCTTGATAAAGGAGAATGTCTCTGAGTAGTTGTATAATCACCTGCATGCATTTATGAAAAAGTTAGTTGAAGAATGTACTTCTTAGATAATATGATGGTAATCAGACGTGAATACTCCCCCGATTTGCCTTTATTTCTCTGAAACTCTGTAGATTTCTATTATTTTAAAACTAAGATTACCATGTCCCACTTGTGTAGCTGTAAGAGAGCTTTAAATCTCACTTGTAACTCTTGAAATGATAATAGTGCATAGCTTCCAGCTCTTCTGTTGTAACTTCGTTGAGAGATACCAGGTTATATTCTTTATAACAATCACTTTTCTTCCATGTAATGATATTTTACCGTATTCATGTAAATATGTTCTCATTGTTGTTCATGCTAGATAATTAGCTAACTTTACCATTCCCTTTTATTTAGCTTATAAAATTGTAAAGTATGTCTCCGATCTTATAAAATTGACATGTTACTAAATTTTTTTTTCCTCATGAAAATTTTGTAGGTTATATCAAACTCTCTTCATTAGAAGAGTCCTTACTGGTATTAGCTGCATTTCTCAAAGGTTTCAAATCTTTCCAAATACTTTTCCAGTGGATAAATCTTGGATTCGATTACCAAGGAACACAACTGGATATTTGTTTGGTTTGAATCAATTTCTAGATCTTACATTTAAAAATGGATCTATAGAAGATAGAATAAAATGTCCGTGTCCTAAATGTGGTTTTGTGAAGTGGTTGACTAGGGATATAGTGTTCGATCATTTAATCTACAAGCCATTGCCTCAAGATTATATCACTTGGGTTTTTCATGGGGAAATAAATCTGTCGCAGAACTTTAATAACATAGAGGTCACTCAAGATACACTACTTGCTAAAAATCCAGTAGACTTATTCCAGGTCCACGTACAGCAGGTAATAATATAGATGTATACTTACAACCCCTTGTTAAGGAGTTGAATGAGTTGTGGTATTAAGGTGTGGAAACTTGTGATTCATCGAAGAATGAAATGTTCAGAATGTGAGCAGCTCTTATGTGGACAGTCAGTGATTTTTCTGGACTTGATATCTTATCTGGTTGGAATACGCATATTGGTTTGGCATGCCCCTCTTGTAATTTTGATTCAGAACCTTGTCGACTTCCTCACATTAGAAAATGGTGCTTTATTGGTCATCGTCGATTTTTGGTATGAAATCACAAATTTAGATTGATGAGGCATCATTTTTATGGAGATGTGGAGGAGAGGAACCCGCCGAGGAAGTTATCAGGGTCAGACATTTTTCAACAAGTGAAAGAAATCGATGTTACATTTGGAAGGCTAACAGAGTTGAATGCTAGAAAGAAAAGAAATAGACAAAGAAAAAATGAGGAAGGTGCAACCCAACAGTGGAGAAAGAAAAACATATTCTTCAATCTTCCATATTGGGAATTCAACTTGTTGCGCCATAATTTGGACGTCATGCACATCGAGAAGAATATATTTGATAATATTCTATACTCTTTGCTAATGGATAAAGACAAATCAAAGGATCATGTTAAGGCTCGAAAAGATCTAAAAAATATGGGTATAAGGCTTGATCTTTGGCCAGATGAGAACGAGAATTGTCGTCTTGCTGCATTTGCAATTCCAAAAGCGAAGAGAGTCGCCTTCCTAAAAATATTAAAGAATATTTCAGTGCCTGATGGTTACTCAATTAATATCTCTCATTGTATTGATCTGGACCAGAAGAGGATCTTCGGATTAAAAAGTCATGATTGTCACATCATCATGGAACAATTGTTACCTGTCACCATTCGAAATGTGCTTCCGAATGAGGTTGTTGCAGTCTTGATAGAGCTTTCTTCCTTTTTCTAGAAATCTTAGTTTGAAAAACTTGAGCCTATCTGACCTAGAGAAGCTACACGATCGGATTGTAGTCACACTTTGTCACTTAGAGATTTTATTCCCTCAATCGTTCTTTACTGTCATGGTTCATTTAATTATCCATCTAGTAGATGAAGTGATACAATGTGGTCTGGTACATTATCGATGGATGTATTTTGTTGAAAGGTAAAACATTATTATTTCATAACATTCTTTAAATCAAACTTAAATATTAACTCAAACTGAATGCTTGTTCTAATACCATGTCATTTTCGTTATAGATTGTTAAGTCATTTCAAGTCTCTTATAGGGTACAAAGCACAACCAGAAGGTTCCATTGCTGAAGGTTACATTGTTGAAGAAGCTCTGACTCTCTGTTCTCGTTATTTTGAGGGTATCTAGTCAAGGATAAATAGGCCTAAACGTGTAAACGATGAGCTAAATCATAATAAGGCTTCTGAAGTATCATCTTTGTTTCCTCAACAAGGTAAACCTGTTAGAGGCTCCACAATATTTTCCTTGTCTCTTTTGGAGAAGACTCAAGCTCATCGATATGTGTTACTTAATTGCGCAACAATAAAGCCATTTATCGAGTAAGAAGTTTATTGTAATTAATTTTTTAACAAAAAATTTAAAGTGAAATGATTAAATTAATATAGATTATTCCTCTGTAGTGAATTTAGGAATCACATTAAAAGGAATTCAAGAGGTCGAAGACCTTCTGCAACAGAGGTAGAGAGAAGAGTTAGTAAAGAGTATCCTGATTGGTTTCCAAAACGAGTGAGTGAATAGTATTGCTAATATCTGTCTATGCATAAGTTGTATTAATTTAGATTATTTAACAAAAATAATTTTGTTTGTTTAGATCATGAATCCAGATATAGCAAACACAATATCTACTGATTTGGAGTTCTTAGCACGAGGTCCAATGCCAGATGCAAGAAGGTTTACTGCATATAACATTAATGGATTCAAGTTTCGGAATGTTTCTAGAGAACATGGATTGAAGACTCAAAATAATGAAATTTTTCTTACCTCTGACACCTCTTGTATTGCATCTAATGTTGATAGAAATGCAAGGCAAGCAGAGTTGCCATATTATGGGAAGTTGAAAGATGTAATTGAGCTTAATTATTATGGATGATTTACGGTTGTGCTCTTCAAATGCTAGTTGGCTGACACTACTCAGGATAGAGGGATCAAAAGAGATGTTTGGAAATTTAATTATGTTAATTTTTCTATATTGATTCACACGGGTGATCGTGAGGACCATGATCCTTATATTGAAGTATCTCAAGCAAATATGGTTTATTATGTTGATGATGAAACTGATAAAGAATAGAGTGTTGATGTGCATCTAAAGCCAAGAGATTTGTTTGACATGGGAGATGTTGATGAAGAAGAAATTTATGAGAATGAGTCATACCAACAACAAGAATTGGAGCAATTTTTTGATATTAATTATGAGAATATCCAAATTGTAATAGAGGAGCATATGTCTGACTAGGAATTAGGATATTTTATACCAGTGAGAAAGATAATTTTCAAAGTACTGGATGTTAATTTTCTATACTTGTGGCAAGTGTTTTCTTCAAGTTTAAAACTTGTCTTTTTCTGAAGATGAATATATCTTTTACTGTAACGATCCGGCCGGTCGTTTTGAGAGTAATAGCCCTGATCCCCTATTAACTGCTTTCCCCAAATCGTTTTCTGCTATTGTGACTTGCCAGGATGATTGGTTTTGAGTTTCGGAGTGTTTTGGGACACTTAGTCCCTAAATGAGAGCTTAAGCCCTAAGATTTGGACCGTAGTCGGAACAATGTGAAGACGACTTCGGAATAGAATTCTGTCGGTTCCGTTAGCTCTGTTAGGTAATTTTGGGTTTAGGAGCGTGTCCGGATTGTGTTTTGGAGGTTCGTAGCTCATTTAGGCTTGAAATGGCGAAAGTCGAATTTTTGGAGTTTTGGGCTGGTAGTGGAAATTTTGATATCGGGATCGTTTTCCGATTCCGAAAGTTAGAGTAGGTTCGTCATGTTGATTATAACTTGTGCGCAAAATTTGAGGTCCATCGGATGTGATTTGATAGGTTTCGACATCGGTTGTAGAATTTTAAAGTTTCAAGTTCTTTAAGTTTGAATTGGAGGGTGATTCATAATTTTAGCGTTTCTTGATGGGATTTGAGAGCTCGACTAAGTTCGTATGGTGTTTTAGGATTTGTTAGTATGTTTGGTCGAGGTCCCGGGGGCCTCGGGTGTGTTTCGGATGCTTAACGGGTGAAAACTTGGACTTAGAGGAATTTCTAAATTTTTCTGGTTCTGGTGTTTTCACACCTGCGAAAAAGAGACCGCAGATGCGTGAGCTGCACATGCGGAGATGGAAGCGCAGATGCGATAAATCGAGAGTTGGCCTGGGGTCGCAGGTGCGAGGAAGTTTCTGCATCTGCGATGCCCGCAAATGCGCATGGATGTTCGCACATGCGCAAGATGCACAGAAGCGGAAGGGACTCCGCAGGCGCGAGTGCGCAGATGCGGCCCTTTCATCGCAGATGCGAAGGCAGAGTGGGTAAGTGAGTTGCGCAAGCGCACCCGCAGGGCTTCGCGATCTTTATCATTTTTGGCTTTGCAAACTCGGGTTGGGGCAATTTTTGAGAGTATTTTCGAGGCATTTCTTGAGGTAAGTTCCTTGTGCTTGTTTTTGGTCAATAATATTGCTTTGCCATGTATTTTCCCACCTAGTTAATGTATATTTAAGGTAAAAATTGAAAGTTGGAGACTAGGGATTTGGGAGTTTGAATTGCGGATTGAAGGACCATTTGGTGTCGGATTTTAGTAAATTTGGTATGGTTAGACTCGTGAGTGAATGAGCTTTCTAGTTTCGTGAATTTTGTCGGGTTTCGAGACGTAGGCCCCGGGGGCCGGGTTTGAGCCAATTTCGGGTTTTGGCCTAATTTTGTAGTTTTTCTTGTAGAATTCATTCCATTAGCGCGTATTGATGGTATTGTACTATTTTGAATAGATCCGGGCCATTTGGAGTAGGATACTCGTGGCAAGAACGTGATATCAGGTTGATTTGAGCGGTTCGAGGTAAGTGGCTTGCC